CTGTCGCACCAAACAGCGAGTGGAAAAAATCAACCAACAGACTTAGTTTAATTTAATTAAAACCTCCTCATATTTGCTTTGGGTTCTCAGTCAAAGGAACATCTGATTTAACAGGAGTGATAGAATCATATTTAAGTGCGATTGTGCCACATTCAATCCGCGAGTCAGTCGGTGATTTTATTATTTTTTTTTTTTTACTTGGCAGAAATGAATGCAGTGCACTTGAGTAACATTACAGATCTGTTTTAATGAGCTCTGATATTAAAACAGACCGAAGGGTGGGAGTAGATGAGGGATGCTGTGCGGTGGAGGGTTCAGTCACACTTACAGAACGTTTTCAGAAATTTTGAGCACTTAAATGTGTTTATATTGCAGTGGTGCATTTAAAGGCATTGTGTTGTGTTGAGTGAGGGTGTCTGTACACTGTGCTGACCTTTCTTTACAAACTGGACACCAGAACTGAGTGATTTCTCATCCTTAACCAGCCAAACTGAGGCTCTACGTGTCCCAGGTTTGCCTCTTTGGACAAAAACAGACAAAAACAGTGGAAAAGTGCATTAGCATAGCTAAAAGCAGCATATTTTTAAACCTCAGTTTTGCCTGTACCTCAGTCTGTGTTTATAGAGGACACATACAGTGTCAGAAACCACATAATCGAGTCCATTAGAGCTACTAATAGAGTGCAGTATGCTAATTAGCTTCATTTACTTGTTAGCTACATTAGCCTTGTAGCTCCAGTGCTAAAACTAAAGAAGCAAACTTGAGACACCAAACACAACTTGATTGATGGGAGGAGGGAATCAATCACATGTCAATTTAAATAACTTTCAGTGCTTCTGTTTGAAAGGGGAATTCCACCATTTTTCCAAAATTTCTCCATAACTCAGTGTGTGAGATGTAATCTGAGAGATTCAGAGTGGTTTGGTGTGAAATGGTTCAGATGTCTTTACAGTGGTGGTGATAGGAACCAGGGGTCGCCATGACTACAACACAAATATAGACATTTTATTTACTATCCAGAACCACCAGTGAACCTACACGAGTCTTCTGAGTCTATATGGAATGTTGATGATGGAAAATAGTGGAAAATCTGAAATAATAAGTTTTCTTTGGGGACTATTTTGCCTCACAGCGCCCTGCATGTATCCCTCCACCATGAATGGAGTTTAAGTTCTCTAAACTATCATAAAACAGTGTCTCAGTCATCAGGCAGTGAATTCATAACCATTTCATGTAGGAACTTTCTGTGAGGGAGCTTTTAGAGGTGGACGTCTGGTTCCTATCACCACCACTGTGAACAGTTCAGACTCGGTCAGTTTATCTAGAACAGAGTGTTTCACACCAAAACACTCTGAACAGCTCTGAACCACTCTGGACCACTCTGGACCTCTCTGTTTACATCTTAACTGTTTATTTATGTAGAGAATTTAGAAAAGTATATGGAGTTCCCCTTTAATGAGTCCCACCCTCCTTGCTCGGTTCTGGTGTCTGACAGCCGTGTGTGCCGTGAAGGTCTGGATGGTTTTGTTGTTTCTGTAAACAGACTGGTGGTCCTGGACGGTGCTGAGGTGTCACTTCCTGTCTGACACTTGACACACTATCCCTCTGTTCAGCTAATCTTCTGACTTCTGGAAACAAAATCAATAATAATATTAAAATTGCTGCACAAACTAACCTGGTTTGTCTTGTTATGAATGCTGTGTTTGTCACTGTCCACTTTATCAGCTCCACTGACCGTATAGTCTCTCACTACTACAGACTGTAGTCCATCTGTTTCTCTGCATACTTTGTTACCCTGTTCTTCAGTGGTCAGGACCCCCATGGACCCTCACAGAGCAGGTACTATTTGGGTGGTGGATCATTCTCAGCACTGCAGTAACACTGACGTGGTGGTGGTGTGTTAGTGTGTGTTGTGCTGGTCTGAGTGGATCAGACACAGCAGTGCTGCTGGAGTTTTTAAACACTGTGTCCACTCACTGTCCACTCTATTAGACACTCCTACCTTGTCGGTCCACCTTGTAGATGTAAAGTCAGAGACGATAGCTCATGTCGGTCATGTGTGAATAAACTGCGTCTATATAGGGATACAGATACAGACTGATAGATATAGATATAGATAGATAGACATTGATTCAAATGTAGACAGATATAAATAGAAAGAAAGATATGGATAGAAAAATTGATATAGATAGATAAATATAGATAGATAAATAGACAGATATGAATAGGTGAATATACATAGACAGCTAGATAGATCGACAGACAGGTGGATGGCTAGATGGATAGATAGATGGCTGGATGAATAGATAGATGGACAGATAGACGGCTGGATGGAAGGATAGATAGCTAGATGGACAGATGGATGGCTAGATGAAAAGATAGATGGATAGATGGATGGACAGACGGCTAGATGGATAGATAAAGAAAAGACATAGATATAGATCGACAAACCGATATGGATAGACAGGACAGCTAGATAGATAAAGATAGATAAATAGATGGATATAGACAGACAGATAGATATAAAGATAGGCAGATAGAGGGCGCTCCACTGAGGCCATCACTGCAGCGCTGCGTATCCTCAGAAGTAAGTGCTCCCCAGACTCGCAATAACTTTCACCAATATTTAAACGGATTTTTTTAAAGATATAACATATAGAGATATAATGTTGAGTGAGTTGAATACTACAGGTTCTCATTAGGCTGAATGAATAACTGACTCTAAATGTAGGTATTGTGATATAAACTGAGTCCGTTCTACAGTTTCTCATTAGGCTGAATGAATAACCGACTCTAAATGTAGGTATTGTGATATAAACTGAGTCCGTTCTACAGTTTCTCATTAGGCTGAATGAATAACCGACTCTAAATGTAGGTATTGTGATATAAACTGAGTCTGTTCTACAGTTTCTCATTAGGCTGAATGAATAACCGACTCTAAATGTAGGTATTGTGATATACAAAAAATGACTATAATTACAGAAATTGTCACTGTCTAAAAACTTATGGACTGCCTGTGTTTGCCTGGTTGTTGTCACAGATGATGTTGCTATGGGAACACAAGATGAGCAAAAGCACGTTCTCTTAAAAAAAAAGGTTACTTCAAGGGTTCTTTAGTAAGGGGAGTGGTTCTCTGCCTGGTGAAGTGGTTCTTCAGATTGATAGAGAGTGTGCTGTATTTAGTTCTATATAGAATCTTTTGGAAAGCGGTTCTATGTAGCACCAAAAAGCGTTCCTCTACTATGTATACTCTTAAAACGAAAAGGTTCAAGGGTTCTTTAGTAAGGGGGTTGGTTCTTTGTATGGTGAAATGGTTCTTCAGATTGATGGAGTGTGTTGTGGATGGTTCTGTACAGAACCTTTTGAAAAATGATTCTGTGTAGCACCAAAAAAGGTTTATTCTATGATTTACACTCCTAAAAAAAAGATTCTTCAGGAGTTCTTTAGTAAAGAAAATGGTTCTATATAGAACCATGAACACTCAAAGAACACTGCATGATTTAAAGGTTCCTTGCATTGTGAAAGTGTTTGATGGAGAATGTGCTGTAGATGGTTCTTTATAGCACCTTTTTGAAAAAGGTTCTGTATAGCACCAAGAATTGTTGTTCTATTGTTACAAGCTTGACATCGTGACCATAGTAGAACCCGTTTTGGTGCCATGTGGAACCATATGCAACACATTCTCCATCAGTCTGAAGCACCTTTTCACCAAGAACTCTTTAATCATACAGATGCTTCTTTGAGTGTTTTTATAGAGGTACTGTCTTTACTAAAGAACCCTTGAAGAACCGACTTCTTTAATAGTGTATATGTTAGTGTATGCAGCATTACAGTAGTAGTTAATGTGTATGTTTAAATAGGACCTGTTTTTAGTCCTGTAATTAACAATAATAATCCTGTATGAATATTAATAATATTAGTGCTGATCATCATTGAGATAATGAGATACTGTAATATGACTGTGAGGTTATATATGCTGGTGTTATTGTGGTCAGACTGAAATAACCTCCTTCACTGTGTCCTTTGGATCAATAATCATTGTTGTGATGTCATCACTGCCCAGCGTGTGCTGATCTCGGCGCAGTGTGGGGGGTGTGCGGAGGAGAGAACCCACCCCGGACCCCCACCGGCCTGCAGAGCAGAGAGCTATAAATAGAGCGGAATTCCCCCATCGAGCGGAGCGGAGCGGCGTCAGCGGGTCTGCAGCGCTGCTGACATCAGCACTCAGACAGTGAAGAACCCAGAGCTGCGCTTCACTGCCTCTGAGCTCTGAGCGTAACAGCTCGGAGGGCTCCTTCACCAAAAACACCAGAATTCATCTCTACAGGACCGTTTTCACCGCCACACAGACTCTGACTCACTGCGCCTTTAAGGCTGGTGTATGTGGATGTGCTGTTTTTGTGACATCACAAAAACTATTAATTATCCCTGTCAGTTCAGCAGTGCCTCATCTGCGTCTCTCTCTGTTCTTTCTTGATGTCTCTCACTCTCCATCTCTCTCTCTCTCTCTCTCTCTCTCTCTCTCTCTCTCTCTCTCTCTCTCTTCTTTCTTGATGTCTCTCACTCTCCATCTCTCTCTCTCTCTGTATGTATCTCTCTTCTCTCTCACTTCTCTATCTGTATCTCTCTCTCTTTCTCTCTCTTCCTCCTTTCTTTCTTGATGTCTCTTTCCTTTCTCACTCACTGTTTTCTTTCTGCACTGTCTCTCTCCCTTGTTTTGCTTTATCTCTTTCTCTCCCTCTCCTCTCTCTCTCTCTCTCTCTCTCTCCCTCCCTCCCTCTATCTCTCTCTCTCTCTATCTCTCTCTCTCTCTAATCAGGCTGCAGTTTTACACAAAGCACTGTGATCATCTGTAATCTAAACAGTTTTTATTAAAATAGCACATTTTTTCCTTTTAGTCGATTTAAACTTCAAACCACATTTATTGACAAACATTTTTTTATTTTCAATTCTTTGCTTTTTATGCTGTAATTTAAATTAGCTGGATATCAAACTACTGT